GTTACAGCTCCTACTGATAGAACCTTGTACACAGTTTCTGCTGATGGAGTTTTGGTTACAGCTCCTACTGATAGAACCTTGTACACAGTTTCTGCTGATGGAGTTTTGGTTACAGCTCCTACTGATAGAACCTTGTACACAGTTTCTGCTGATGGAGTTTTGGTCACAGCTCCTAATGAAACGTGGAGTACCTTTAACCACCAACACTTTTATACTGGTGTAAGACTTTCTGATTGGTTGGATGACAAAAAATACGCATAGTGTTCTCTTCTTCAGCTCATTTTAACACGATAAAGGAGTGACATTTTCCTAGCATTTACCTTTTATATCCTTTTGTCAACGATTCCATAATTATTTCTAACACCTTATGTCATACACACTCAACAAATCTATCTTTATTGTCAGACTAAAATAGTCCCACACTGGAACAGCGGTATGTCTAGGGATTTACAACGCTAGAAACTGGGTTTCGTTACTCGTGGTGGGCAGAGCACAGATAGCCCTTTGTGTAGCTTTGTGCTTAACTACAAACAAACAAAGAGAGTACAATAATTATCGACAACACAATACAGTGATGAGAATAAACATATCCGATGCTACATATCAAAATTCAATAAAAGTATCTTGTGCAGTAAGTTGTAGAATTAAAATGATGGGATCAAGATTTAAAATGTACAATAAAATTTTTATTCGGCTGACGACCAACATTAAAATACTCTACATGTTCCGGTAGCTTTACGTTACCATCAAAAGGGGTAAAAACCCTACATGACAAGAGAAAGGGTTTAACTCATTGTAATCTTTATGGGTGGTATGAATATTATACGTAAAAAATCAATATTTCTTTCAAAAACTGTGCGTTATCATTAGCTATCCCCCTTTTCTCTCTTTAGAAGATACTTGCCACTGATGTCCCGCTGTTTGTTGACCCCTGATTCTCGTCTTTAAATTGTTGATATATTACAGGTTATCTAGATGTTGGCCACTGTTGTTCTGCTGTATCTTGACTTCTGATTCTCATCTTTAACTTGTTGTTATATTACAGGTTATGAAGATGCTGGCTACTGTTGTTCTGCTGTATATTGACTCCTGATTCTTATCTTTAACTTGTTGATATATTACAGATTATCAAGATGTTGGCCACTGTTGTTCTGCTGTATCTGACTCCTGATTTTTATCTTTAACCTGTTGATATATTACAGATTATCAAGATGTTGGCCACTGTTGTTCTGCTGTATCTTGACCCCTGATTCTCGTCTTTAACTTGTTGATATATTACAGATTATCTAGATGATGACCACTGTTGTTCTGCTGTATCTTGACTCCTGATTATTTTCTTTAACATGTTGATATATTACAGGTTATCAAGATGCTGGCTACTGTTGTTCTGCTCTTTGCTGTTTGCTGGCTCCCGATCCACACTTTCAACTTGTTAATATATTTCAAGGAGGGTTTCACTATCGTTAACAGCCAGGAGGAGTATTTTGCTTTTGTTGCTGCCTTCTTTTGTTGCCACTGGCTTTCCATGGCTAACAGCTTCGTAAACCCCATCATTTACTGCTTCATGAGCGAAAACTTCAGGGTAACAAAGTTTCATTTCGAACTTTGTAGAGTTTACACTAAGAACCATTTGTCTTTAACCACTTCAAAGTTAATCATTAGAATCTGTCAAAGATGGATCTAGCTTTCGTAAGTTTTACGAATAATATTCCAAATTTATACATTTATGTAGATTACGTTATTACAAACACAGGATGTATATATATATATATATTATATGCTAGACAAATAAAACCAGGGTAGAAACATCAAAGACACCGTAGAGATTGAGAAGTATTGACTAGGGTTGGGTTCACTCATGCTATTAGGAGATTACACAGTCTAGGTTGAGAATGGCTTTACTCATGATACTAACGATACGAGATTATGTAGGTTGTGTTGGGGTCAAAATCACTGGTAATGTTAGAGGCAGAAAATTACATATGCCAGGTTGGGATTGAGTTTAATTATGTATTACTAGCTGACGTACTCCTTCAACGCACAGGGAAGACATAGAGGCCCTTGTTAGTTTGGGTTATGTGGCTGATGAAGTATTGAAATACTTTCTCTTGTCCTGAGTTGTTTTTATAACCTAGAAATAATTGGAACTAATATCTGTGTTATAAACTTTTCACGTGTGATGTGCAGTGCAGGAAGTGTTATCAAAACTTGATGGTAAGTGCTAATTTATTCACGTGGAAAGTTACAGTGTACGCCTTCCACCTCTAAGAGTCTCAACACGGTAATTTCATTTCATTACCTTTTGCAAGTTTACTATACATGCATTTCATGGTTAACCTTAAAGTATCATGAGATCTGTAACCCGCACACAAAGATTGATAAAGAATATTTAATAAAGAAAATTGATTTAAATATCAGAAAGATCAGACGGTGAATAGATTAACATAACACGAAAACACTCAGATTCATAATACGAAGCCAGCATGACAAGTTAAATATATTTAACGTTATAGGGTTTTTATTTTACATATTGAACACAGAACGTATAATGATGTACAGTCAGTATAAAAGGTCAAATTTTTAATATCAGTATTCTACATAGTGAGCGGATATTCAAAGTAAACGTATTTAATACAGAAGACCAAGTAACTAAAGTTTCTCTACTCTTCTCTCTCTCCGTCTGCTTTCTATCCAGAATTCGATGAAGAGAAACCCACTTTGAGGCTAATAATGGTTGGAGACGGCTTGAATGGGTAATGAAGAAAAAAGTTAATATACCGTCTCCAACCATTATTATTTCCATCAAGAAGTTAAAGCCAATTGTTAAAGCTTTCTGTGTTAGTATATAAGTTCAAATCAAGTATAAAGCCAAGCACTATGTTGATTGTTCTATACACGAGTTTAAGTCAAGTGTAGAACCCAGCACTATGTTGATTGTTTTATACACGAGTTTAAGTCAAGTGTAGAACCCAGCACTATGTTGATTGTTCTATATTTAAGTTTAAGTCAAGTGTAGAACCAAGCACTATGTTGATTGTTCTATATTTAAGTTTAAGTCAAGTGTAGAACCCAGCACTATGTTGATTGTTCTATACACGAGTTTAAGTCAAGTGTTGAACCCAGCACTATGTTGATTGTTCTATATTTAAGTTTAAGTCAAGTGTAGAACCCAGCACTATGTTGAGTGTTCTATACACGAGTTTAAGTCAAGTGTAGAACCCAGCACTATGTTGATTGTTCTATACACGAGTTTAAGTCAAGTGTAGAACCAAGCACTATGTTGATTGTTCTATACACGAGTTTAAGTCAAGTGTAGAACCAATCACTATGTTGATTGTTCTATATTTAAGTTTAAGTCAAGTGTAGAACCCAGCACTATGTTGAGTGTTCTATACACGAGTTTAAGTCAAGTGTAGAACCAAGCACTATGTTGATTGTTCTATACACGAGTTTAAGTCAAGTACAGAGCCAAGCACTATGTTGATTGTTCTTTATTTAAGTTTAAGTCAAGTGTAGAACCAAGCACTATGTTGATTGTTCTATACACGAGTTTAAGTCAAGTGTAGAACCAAGCACTATGTTGATTGTTCTATATTTAAGTTCAAGTCAAGTGTAGAACCAAACACTATGTTGATTGTTCTATACACGAGTTTAAGTCAAGTGTAGAACCAAGCACTATGTTGATTGTTCTATATTTAAGTTCAAGTCAAGTGTAGAACCAAGCACTATGTTTAATTGTTCTATACACAAGTTCAAGCCACTTTTACAGTAAAGATTCATGTTGTCCGTTCACTCTATGTGTTCTATACAGAGTTTTTCTTCCATGTTATTTTATATATTTGATATCTGAATTACTTACTGATTTCAGTAATCTTGAAATTCAAGCAACATTTATAAATTCTATATTCCAATTGTATCTTATTTTAATCCCCGTTCTCCTATATTTATATAATAAATATTTCACTTATTCTATCTAATTTATAATCCTGAACAAAACTGTTAAACATCTAAATTTTATATTTTTAATAATAAAATTCAGTTTTCGTAATATTATGTTCCCCACAGCATTATTATTTCCTACAACTGTTAACGTACGTTTTTATGGTTATTTATTATTTTTAAAGATTTAATTCATTTCGAGATAATAATTTATATCATTAATTACATTAGTCTAATAAAGCTTTTATATCTCAAATATCTTATCCCCTGTAGCCGTTATCTCAAATATCTTATCCCCTGTAGCCGTTTTCCATTATTTTGGCACTTGTGTATAAAGTTAAAATCGTAAATAATATTCAACGTT